GGTGAATCGCGGTGGAGGGGTGCTGCTTTACACCTCCTGCGGGGAGAAGGGGCCGGATCCTGGCCAGCGGGTGCCTTTTGCTGCCTGGGTGCAGGTGACGGGGCCCGGCCGAAAAGGACCTGCTGCACCTCGGGGACCTGGACCGCCTCCCCACGCCGTCGTCTCCCGCGCATCTCCGGCCGCGCCGGCTCTCCCCATCACCCCCCATCGCCAGCCGGCTGGTTAAACCAACCCATGGCGATTACACCCCGTGCTAATCCCTGGGCAGGACTTTCCCTGCCTGCCCATCCCCGGGCTCTCAGGCCTCCTACGTCCCCCCCGCCAGCCATGAGGGCCAAAGACGCATCTTGAATTTCTCCTTCCCGGCTGGGGAGCGTGCAACGGTCAAAGCAGCCGCTACAGCCTGGGTAATAACACTTCACTTCTGATATTTTCCAGCCTATTAATCTCCAAGTCATTTAAATAGTCACCCAAAAGGTGTAGGTAATCAATGTTAATTAGAGTTGAAAGATCAGCGACTTTCTTAGATGAGGTCCTGCCTAGATTATTTGGTGCCAATCAATAGCATCTCGGCGCTCGCTCAGGCTCTCGCCTCACCTTTATTTCAACCGCTCATTGATTTTGGGGTAGGTAATGGGCAGAGGACGCGAGGATTTAAGGCCAACTTCAGAGGCAGGTTTGCAATTCAGGAGCCGCTTCCAAAAAGACCAGAGTTTTTTGATTTTCATCCTTTTTTCCCCTCCCCTGACTCGCAGCTCTTGGGCCCCGGCTGCGAGCAGCTCTGTCCGGGTCCGGCTGTCCCCAGGTGGTGCGGGAACACCCCGGGATGCTGCGGGGGGGTGTTAAAATGGCTTTAACAGTGTTATGTGAGGGGGGGTGGATGGGCAGAGGGAGGAGGGGGGCTGCAGAGCCTGCACCGGCTCAGCCTTGGGCACAGAAAAGCATCGTCTGTCTGTCTGTCTTGTCCTATCCCTCTGCAATCCCTCCGTCCCTCCCTCCATTCCCTCCATTCCCTCCATCCCTTCAT